AGAACTATCAATATAATATAAAAAAAATTTAAATTTTTTTAAAATAATAAATAAATAAATTATATATATATATATATATATATATATATATATATATATATATATATATATATATATATATATATTGAGAGACAGAATGTGTGTGTGTGTGTGTGTGTGTGTGTGTGTGTGTATGTGTGTGTGTGTGTGTGTGTGTGTGTGTGTGTGTGTGTGTGTGTGTGTGTGCGAAACGCCAAACCAGTGTTTTAGGATCTGGACAATAAAAATACACCTCTCTCTCTCTCTCTCTCTCTCTCTCTCTCTCTCTCTCTCTCTCTCTCTCTCTCTCTCTCTCTTTTTTTTCTTTCTTTCTTTCTCTCTCTGTCTCTCCCTTGTGGTTAGGCTGCCGGCCCGTAATCGTGAGATTGCGGTTCGGGGGTTCGAGCCTCAGCTGAGTCGGACGGTGTGTCCTTGGGAAAGGCACTTTACACGAATTTCCCATTTTGGCTCGGCCCTTTAGGAGATGAACGTTAAACTCGGAGGTCCCGCTTCTTATAGAACCTAATAGTGTGGATAGGAGTGTTAAACATATACTGCAGAGGTTTGGTTATCATTGATGAGAGTGTGTTTGTACTAGATCTAGCCATGACAAAATGGACACAATTGCCAAGCTGAGCAGCGTCTGATTGAAGCTTTCATGAGATTTCAGACAAGTCTGACAGGATGTCTTCATAACCCCAACCCCCCTCTCCCACGAGCGTATCTTAAAAATAATAAAAAAAAACAATAATTCTCCCCATTTTGGAGTCCTATACTTCGTGGCGTTCAGACTTTGAATGAACTTTGGTGACCCCAACAACCGGTGCTCACACGATGCCGTATCTTGTGATTAAGTTGTGATGCGAACGAGCCGGTTCACTGACCGGTCACGGTGGCGAATCCGACAAGACGCGTGTATCACGTTCTTTTCTTTTTTTTTTTTTACAAGTGCCAGCACAGGATAAATATTGATTTATTTTCATGGTGTCACATTTTTTTAAAACAAGAAACCAGGGCACGGCAAAAATCTTGATTTTACGGGGCATTACGGCAAATTGCAAAGGCGCCAAGGCAAATTGCCTCGGTGCAGCGGTCTATTTCAAGCCCTGTATATACATATTATATATATATATATATATATATATATATATATATATATATATATATATATATATATATATATATATATATATATATACATATTTACCCAGAGGCAAAAGAAACGCAAGTAAGTAAAGCATGAGTAAATGAATAAAACACACTACACTCAATAGGGGTTTGTCATGTGTAAATGAGATTTTAATTCGTCCAATTTACACAGCTATGAGAGTGTCAATGTGTGGCTGTTTTAGAGTTGTTTTATCCTCACTTTATTATGTCTATGACATTGACCTTGGGGCAGAAAGTCAGTACTTTGTGTGACCTCGGTCGGCTGCAGACACCGCACTGCATCTTCGACTCACAGAATTCACAAGAGTGTTTATTTGTCCACCTGGGGTCTGTGCCAACGCCTGGCCGATGGCTGAAGCTAATGGAGGAGCTGTCCGTGGTGGTGGTTGAGCTGCCTCTGGATAGCATCCTAAACGTGCTCGGTTGCGGTTTACGTCAGGAGAACGAGCCGGAGGAAGCAAAGGATTGATGCTGATCTGTCCCTGGAACTTCGGTGCTACACGGGCAGTATGGGATCTCGTGCTGTCTTGCTGAAAAAATGTAATTCAGATGCCTATAGAAAAAGGGCACTACATGAGACTAAAGAGCTTGGTTAAAGTAGCGCTGAGCTTAAACTCCATTTCCTTGTTCCCACTTTTTGGAACAACACTTGTCCAGTTCTTTGATTTAGAGCGATGACTCCCCATATCATGACGCTTCACCCTCCCCAAGGGTCTCTCACCAAGACGTTGGAATTAGCATAGCACGTCAGGTCTGTGCGCCAAATACGGGTGCTCCCATTTGACGAATCAACGCAGAATCTACTCTTGTCGGCGAACAGCACCCTTCTATATTGTCTGCTCCTCCAGTCCTTGTGAGTCTGTGCCCACAGCTCAGAAGCCGGTCACGGCGGTGCCGAGGGGTCAGAACTGGCTTGCCACAAGGCTGTCTGCACCAGAGGCCTGTGGAGTGCAATCCCCACCGGGCGATTCTGGTACTCAGGGCCCGCCCCGTTATTTCGATGGTGTTCCTGATGGTTTCGGCGGCTATCAAAAACGGATTCATCCAGTATTGTCGCACCATAAGGCGATCCTGAGCTGCAGTTGTCGCCGCTGCTCTTCCGGCTCTGGGGAGATCACTTGTCGTTTTTCACTACCCGAATGATGTGACAAGTGAGTTCCCGTGAGCTGCCATAGTTGTTTACATCTAGTTGTTTGTTGTATAAGCGACCAATCAGGGCAATGCATTGCTCGGTGCTTCAATGGAACATGTGAACAGTACTCACAAATAGAAACTTTGGCAAGTGCTTTAACGACGATGAAAATTTCGCGTTTCTTTTGCCTGTGACTGTGAGTGTGAGTATCTATTATCTATTTGTGGTGGCCGAATTTTGCTATTCAAAAGGCGTTTTAATGGCTGCATCGATCGACATGCAGTTTTCGCCAAAAGATTCTCTAAAATATTCTCCCAAACATGACGGCCTTGGTTTTTTTCAGCTTTGAGTGGTTTTGCTGCAAAATGCTAAATTTCTTTATTTCGCCGATCTCTTTTGTAGGCCGACGCTTCTGTCTCAGTAATTTTAGAAAATCCGGAAGTGATATTTCGCGAGGCGCATTTTGTTTTGAGAGTATAGATCTAGACCTTATAATTTTTTGCATCTCTCAAGATTTATTGCCCCATTCCTGTAGAGTGTAAATATAGTAGGCCAATGACTTTTAGTTGATATTAAAGCACCGATCATTCCTTTCATCGAAAGGGGGCCCAGCTAGTAATATATAATAATATGTTGATTTCTCTGACATTCGTTTACATAACGTCCCATGATTAGCATCTGTTACAGCAATCAAAGCAACCTCTTGTCCTTTATTTTAATTTTTTTTTTTTAATCAATTCTCCTTTATGGCCATGGCGATGACGTTGCGTTCCTGTTTCTTTTGCACTCTAATATATATATAAGTTTGTAACCCTTATGTAAGTTGGGGGTTTTTTGTTTGTCGTTTGTTTTGTTGGGGGGGTGTTGTTTTTTTAATTTTTGTTGGTAGGTGTTAATTTTTAAGTGGACAGAACAAGCAAAGCAACTAACTACAAGATTTATTGATTTGAGGCGACCAGCGCAGTATAATTTTGTGTTACATTAGCCAGTCTCCTCCATACCTCTCTGCCTGCTCCACATCAAACTTAGTGTAGCACGCCTTGTGAAAACGATTGTGCTGTGAATATATTCGCACAGCATTTAATTGTATTGCTTTAGTTGAGCATGGAATCGAAGCTTGCCTAGCGTATGCATCCAAAAGACGGAGAAAATTAAAGCAGACTGCCGTGCTGGGCACAGTCATCCTGGAAAGCCACAATGAACACCCGATACCAATACACGAAATACGAAGTAGTGGTTAAATAGGAGAATCTGGGGAAAAGCGTCAAGTGGGATCAAGCTGCTAAATTTTTTCATTGCAGTTTGGAAACAAATAGTGATTACTTTATGGACGAAAAAGACCAGTTTGGAAACAAATTATAGTGATTACTTTACGGCCGAAAAATGCCAGAATAGGTGGGGGGAAAAAAGAGTTTTTACCCTTTTTACGATTTTTATACGGTCGTTCCTTGTTGGACTTCACTGTTTGAACAATGGATACAAACCAGAAGGTCAGCCTATGATATAAAGTAGCTCTGTGCCTGGTTAATTGGGGGGGGCGCACTTCGACCATGCAAGGCGTTGTTTCTATCGATCGCCTCTGCCCTCCCCCTGCAGTCTCTTTTTTTTTTACTTTCTCGCTCAATTTCCTCCAACCTTAACAGCTGTGTGTTTGGTATATAGTTGGGGGGAGGGGGGGGGCTCCAAGTAGTGCAAAGAGACTGGGTTTTTTCCATGATATTCGTTGACACTGTTGTGTAATGCTAAGGCCAAAGGCTGTTGCCTGTCTGCAATTGGACAAACTGTTTGCCTGGTGGCTTTTCATGCATGAAATACTATTGTGTAAGTAATTGAGCATGTGCAATTCCTCGTGTGAGTGTCTCTGCTTGCAGGGCAGCGTGAGTACGTCTCTCTCTCTCTCTCTCTCTCTCTCTCTCTCTCTCTCTCTCTCTCTCTCTCTCTCTCTCTCTCTCTCTCTCTCTCTCTCTCTCTCTGTGTGGGGGCGGTTATATATATATATATATATATATAGATATATGGCTCTATATATACATTATGTCCCCAGAATGCCCAAATATAGAGAGGTACAAGAAAGTAAAAAAAAAAAAAAAAGGGGGGGGGGGGAAATACGCTCGCGCTAGCGCGCGTGAGGGAGGGGGGGGACCAAATTAAGGAGGTCCCACCCCCTCCACACATAAATCAGTGGATAGATATGCTCACACCTGTTTGTGTGTGTGGGTGAGAAAGAAAGAGAGAGAGAGAGAAGAGAGAGAGAGAGAGAGAGAGAGAGAGAGAGAGAGAGAGAGAGAGAGAGAGAGAGAGACAGAGAGAGACAGAGAGAGACAGAGAGAGAGAGAGAGAGAGAGAGAGAGAGAGAGAGAGAGAGAGAGAGAGAGAGAGAGAGAGAGAGAGAGTTTGTGCTATATGGTGACTAGACGTCTTGCTTGCAGCCTGCTGCTCAAGCCCACACAAAATTCCCCGGTTCAAAGTGAATACGGTTTATCGTTACAGTCATGCTTGGGGCCTACTTGTGCCCCAGAGGGAGGGCCCAAGGGGTAAATTGTACTCGTTTCTCATAATCATCATTTTGAACAGTAGTTGCCATCTTCCGTTGTGAGAGGTGAATAATACATTCGGGACTTTTCCTCCCATTTTTATTAAATAACCTCTTTTCTTATCTAAATATAATAAACCAACTTACAGAATAGAAGATCTCCTGTTGTCCTCATATGAGAGTCAAATTTGTGGAGTCACTTCATCCAACAATATTTTCATTCACAGCAGTCCAACAAAAAGGGTGGAACGGAAATCACAACAGTTGGCTATAAAAGTTGCTGTCAGAGAATTGGTGCCCCGAATATGTAACAATTAAACATTATGTAACTTTACTTTCAATGAAACCCCATTTAGATCGAAACCTATCCTTTGTCAAGAGAACAACACACTCGGTAAGCTATAGATCTGCTAATATCCTCACTCCCCGTGCTTAATGGATAAAAACCACCAAACTGCGAGGGTATAGATCTAGTTGGCAGCTCCAGGCCCACAATTCGTAGGGACCTCACGATGGTGAAGCGTGTGCGAGGGGCAGCCAGTTTTCGTCCCGCGTGCCCTCGATGGGAGGGGCGGGTCGATGGCCGCAAGCCGCTCCACGAAATGAGTCCATGCAGAGAGAGAGAGAGAGAGAGAGAGAGAGAGAGAGAGAGAGTCCACAACACATGAAATTATGTGCTGCTTTTGTTCTTCTTTCGTAGGTTTTAAAAAAAATCTTTTTGGGGAGTGTGTGTGTGTGTGTGTGAGAGAGAGAGAGAGAGAGAGAGAGAGAGAGAGAGAGAGAGAGAGAGAGAGGGAGAGGGAGAGGGAGAGGGAGAGAGAGAGGGGGGGGTGCCGAAAGAAGTATAAAACAGGAGCTTTTGGATCATAGACAGATAGCTTACACTTTGAATAACATAGGCTAAAATAAGCTTGGTTCTAGAAATCAAAGCAACAAGTAAAAATAATCAATATAAAAGCATGCACCCTCACCAACCCAAAGATCCTAAAATTACACACCATCTCATTTGCTATGCCCTTGGCTATCTTCAGCCTGCGATAGCTTAAGGGGGAGGGCTACACCCCCAAAATCAAAATTCGGCGCAAAATCATGGAATTTGAGTTGTAGGCATTTTTAGTTTCCTCAGCCTCTCCTACAACTATTTCATGGCATAAGAACCCTCAAAAACCGTATTTTTTCCCATACCAGGCATGTTTGTAACCGCCATTCCCTCATAAAGTCAGTATTTTTTTATTTTTTTATCGGCCGTTTTCTCAAAATGCGACTTTTCTCTCTATTTTTTTGAATAACTCCACCATTCTTTATCCAATCTTCATGAAATTTTCACAGAATGAAGACAAGAGGTAATACTAAAGATTTGTCTGTTGAATTTTTGATATATGGAAAAGATTTTTGTTGGTGGTGTCTGGAGTGTGGATTTTCACGGATTTTTCGCAAACTTGAATGCTACCTCAGGAAAAAATTCATTAAAAATTTTCTAAGTCGATTAGGAAGAAAACAACAGACAAATGTTTAGATCTAATGTTTGTAAACACGCATGCAAAAAACAATCAATTTCCATGAGCGATAAGTGCGGTATTCATTACGTAAGACATGTCAATAAAATCCAATTGGTGGCGTATCCATGGAAACGAATCTTTTTTCTCAAATTTGATTGCGGATTTTAAGACTCCCTACTATGCTTGTTATATGTGTGAAATTTGGTAAAATTCGGTCCAGTAATAAGCGAGATAGCCTTCAGGTGTAAACCCCCCCCCCCTTAAATTGTGTACGCCAACTTTTTAGCCCCACGAGCCGCCCCCAGCCTCCAGATTAGGCGAAGATTTTTCTTCTTTTTTCCCCCCTTTTTTTCTTTTATTATAGTAAGTTTTAGGGTTATGTTATTTTCTTTCACTTATTCTTCTGGTCAAAACACTTGCAATATAAAATAGTTATTTGTTTTTTCACTTCATCCCTGACCGCGACAGCACGGGAGTATACAAATTTTTTAAACAATGGTATACCAATACGGAAAAAAAACGGCGCTTGTCCATGGTGGCCATTCAAATTACCGAAGTCCCCCCTTTTATGCAAATGAGGTAAAGTCAGCTCTGAATTTTACTTTCTTTTTTTGGTTTTTTGTTGCCGATTTTTTCAAATGCCAATCGAATCAGCTTTCGCAATTTTGCGAAGGAACCTCAACAAAACCGTTTAAGGTTTAAAAAATAGTTGCGTTTTTGTCATTTTGAGACACACTACCGCTTCAATCAAGTAGGTTCTGTAAAAAAAAAATTGGCCCTTAACAGATTGGCATAGGCCTAGCGCTTTTGAATTATAATTGTGTCTGCTTCTATTACTCACAGGTTCGAATCACGATCAAGTCGCAGGTGATTTTTTTCTAATCATGTAATATTGTGTATGCTTTCAGTGGTTAACGTGACACAAATACACATTCCAGATGAATAGAGAAAGGGAGCCAAGAGAACACAAACCAGTGTACTTTCTTTACTTTATTTATTACCAAACCAAAAATTAAACCTTTTCTTTTACATAGGCCATTCAAAGTCCCTTCTTTATTGCGTATATTGTGGTGGTAACTCGGAAGTAGATATATTACACACACACACACACACACACACACACACGCGCACGCACACACACACACACA